CCACTCCTGAATTTTGTTCGTATCTGAAAAAAATCTTAGAATACGAAAACATTGGTGAATGCCACAAATTCTCCTAAATCACTCGTACGCACAACAAGAACAAATCTGTGCGTACAAACGGTTCTAGCATGAGGCCCATTGTTTTTGGTCTGGACTGTAAAAAATTGTGCCTTTTGGAGAACGCTGTTCTAATCCTTGGAAAATCATATATACATAAATCCAAATGTAAGAAAATGTCTTCTAAGTTTTGTGTATTTCTCAATGAGTTTCTATGTTATGTAAAAGCCCTTATAAAATAATGGYAAATCCTAATGTTAGGAATCTTCTCAACGTTATTGTAGACAAGGGGTTCTTAACCTTTTTGACCCAATTTGTTGAACATAAAGTGACAAGAGGTCCAGTCAGACATTACCAATGTATGGATCAAAATGATAATTATTCAAAATCTTGGTTTAATTTGTGTTGTATTTGCATTATAACTAAATAAAATACACTTACAGATTAAAAGTAAAACTCCTGTCAAATAATCACAAGACATGATTATAACAAACATTTTTATATTGTAACCTGCCCATAACAATTATTTGAACAAATACAAAGGTCAGTCAACAGACCACTCAGGTTTATCAACACAAAAATAACCCATCCATCCATTTTCTGTACACGCTTCTTCCTTTCAAGGTTGCGTGGGTCACTGGTGCCCATATCCAGCTGTCCGAGGGGTGGGGTACACCCTGGACAGGTCGCAAGTCCATCACAGACAAAAATGTTTTTTTTTTAACATGAACAACAACAAAAATAGACAATTCAATGAATAAAATTGTGATCATAAAATAAATACAAAAAATATTTTATGTAAATGTTTCAAATAAAAAAACTGTAAAAATAAATTTGATAAAGTGTAAATGAAAATAAAGTCTTTTTAAACTTTTGCATAGAACCAGAAGCTGCTCTTCATATTAGTGACAAACAATAACAGTAACAACAGCTTTTTTGACAAAATTGTTAAAAATAAATTACAAAAAATAATTTGATAAAGTGCAAATTGAATATAGTTGTATCTGCAACTGTATTTGATAATGTCTTGAACTTTTAAAATATTGCATGATAGAACCAGAAGCTGCTCTTCATATTAGTGACAAACTTTGACCTTTTTTGATGGGTTACCTTCAATTTTGCTTCTACTTTTAATTTAAAATAAGTTTCCATTCTCGGCAGGTTTCTAAGGTTCTTCTTCTACATATTAAAAAAGTTGTTAAACATCTGAGTGGTGCACTACTGCTACTAGTGGTGAGAAAGTGTATTGCACCTTATTCTAAATCAATGCGGTCTCGCGGCCCTCTGTGGCCCAAAGTTAAAAACTGTTGTTCTTTTGAGGCCCTCAYGGTTGCGCTCGCGGCCCAAGGCCCATAGGTTAAGAATCTCTGTTGTAGAATATAATTAAGCAGTTTTGTAGGCCGAAACCATCCTGTGTTTTCTTCTTTCTTTCCTATTTATTTATTTTCTCCTTTATTAGATTATTGTCTGTTTTGCACCTATGCCTCTAATTTCTGATTTGTATTTGAATATTTATTTGTATTACTGCCTTGTTGTTTGTATAAATCTATAAATATAAAAACAAGTGAGGTGAGGAAACTCAGGAGAACTCACTCAGCCTGGTGGAGACGGGTCGGATTCTTCTGGTTCTGGAGCTGCGCTTCTTAATAGCAATTGTGTCCTGAGAGGAAAAACAAAAACAAACTAGAGAAATTGCATTTCCTGTGAAAATGCTAGTGTGAATGCTTCTTGCTGAAAATGTACGCTGAACACTGCTGAAATCGAACAGAAAAATTTTAATAGCAAAAGTGTTATTGCAAGTTCAAATTGTAATAGTTGAAAGAAGCTAAAAAGGCTAACTTTGCAGAAAAAAAGCAAAAAACATAATTGAAAAAGCAGAAAAAAGCTAAAAGCTAAAATAGCTAAAAACATCAGAAAACATCTGTAAGAAGCATAAATATCACAAATTCGCAGAAAAAAGCTCAAACAGTAGAAAAAAGCAAAAAGAGTAGCAAAAGGAAGCAGATCTAAAGTTTAATGCTAAAATTAGCATAAAATAAGTTAAATGTAGCAGCCACAAGTTGTAATTAGAACCCAAATAATGGAAAAAATGTAACATTAGCAGCAAAAAAGCAAAAATGTACAAAACAGTGTCAATTTGTAGTTAAAAAACTAAAACAGCCAAAATTTTCTGTAAAATACTTCAAAAGTAGCTGGAAATTCTGTAATTAGCATAATGAAAGCATAATGAGTTTAAAGGTTGCAGAACTTAGCAGAAAAAGTTATGTTAGCTAAAAAAAAATCTGTGTACTTAGCTTAAACAGCTAGCTTTAGCTAATAACAGCTAAAAATTTGCTATTGTTTCAGCAAATAAATGCAAATAGCAGAATGCACCTGTAAGGAGCAGAATTAGCACAAATTAGCAGAAAAAAGCACAAAAAAGGCAGAATAGCAGAAAGAGGATAGCAGAAAATAGCTAAAATTAGCAAAAACGTAGCAAAAAATTAAGACAGGGAAGTTAAAAAGAGCTGTACCAGACCAAAAGGTGTAAGGATCTGTAAAGATTTAGAAACATTTTAAAGGATTTTAAGTATGTTGAAAACAGCTCCATTCATTTTCAATGGCAAAAATGTGGCTAAAAAAGTGAAATAGCTGAAAAAGTAGAAACAGCTGAAAAACCAAAAGTCATAGCAGGATTGTCATAAATGAGCTGAACGTTTTGATATATGCTTTGTTGAAATAGAACAAAAATTGTGGAACGAGTCAGTTGCCAAAAAACGTACAGAAGAAAATATGATAATATGAAAGATAAAATCTGAGAAAAACACAGATCAGTACTTTTATCAGTCGAGGATGATCAAATTGAGCTAACTAAAACCATGATGAACCACAGTTATATAAATGACTGAGATGAAAAAACACTGAAAAGAAAGAACTGAGTGAGATTAAAATTAGGACGAGCTCTTTGATTTTGTATTTTCTTCTAAACACACACACTGTGAGGTAAATCTGATGGTAACTTTGTGAAAGAGTGTTTAAGGCAAAGCATATCAAAATGTTTTTATCTTTTAAAGTTTTCACATAAACATCATGAGTGGATGAAGATCATCATGTTTCTGTTATTCCTTCAGTTTACCTGCTGGCTGAAAAATACCAAACTACTCTTTATCACCTGGTGGTAAAGAACTACATAACGTAGTGGGTTTCCCAGGAGCTCGGCACAGTGTGTCTGAGAGGCTATGAAGTGTGTTTGAAAAAAACGAACACCGAACAACCATGAGACCGTGCGTCGTCTGGTCAGCTGATGAGCGACCAAACTGAAGCCTTTAGATCAGTGTTTCCCAAAGTTGGGGTCAGGACCCAAAGTGGGGTCCCGAAACATCAAGGTGAGGTCCTGAAAAGATTTTCGGAATTAATTACATTTTTGTCTTAGTTGTTACAAAGGAGTGAGGTTAGTGTATTTAAAATGGATAAATGTAGTATAA